ATGATCCATTGATCATTTCTTGCTGACCGGACTTCTCCTTTAAACAAGACCAAGATTGTGTTTTACAGACAGCAATCCCTTCAGATGGGTTTTTGGGGTGAAATAAAAGATAGATCTCTTTAAAGGCACATCATAAGCACCCTGAAGTACAGTAGAGGATGGGTGATACTGTGGGATTGTATCTTCTCCAAAGGTTCTGGGGGTCCTGTGGTGTACAGGCTCTTTTAAGTGATCAGAGATTTCAATAAAAACTTGACATCTGCCAGAAAAGAAATAAAAAAAAGGTCTTTTAAGTCTAGTCTTTCATAAAGATGCTGAAAGGAGAATAGTTACCCAGACATCAGATAACCTTTGCTCCACCTTTGTCCCTAAATCTACTCTCTGAAAAACATGACAAGACCTGAACAGAGGAGCGAATAAAAAGAACAGAGTGTTTTGGCTCTGTTCTTTTTATACATGTGGGCAAAAATGGCCGCTCCCAGACTCTCGATCTCAACAAAAACAATTTAATTTTTAATGTTTTTTTTTTAACTGATTAACGCTAAATTCATTGAATCATTGTGAACTTATTACTTTTAGGTATACATAATGAGCCACCGATCGTTCTGTGCTGACCGGACTTTTCCTTTAAGACTCTTGCTGTAGTTTTCTTGAGTCCCAAAGTCTTAGAAAAAATGGTTTGATAATCTTGATTTTTTTATTAATCGGTTTCTTTTTGTGATTGTTTAGCCTTATTATGTTGTCAGATGTGATTGATTTGAATGATTTGTTGATACGATGACAAAATGACAAAACCAGGTTAGCTCAGGCTAACAAAGAAGTGTGGTTCATTTAGATAAAATCCGGCATTAACAATGTGGATGGGTAATATAATATTTATTGGCTTCTTGTCCTTTAAAATGACAAAAATTTAACTGGCATATGAAAAACTTTTGAAAAGCAGTTTGTAACAACTCAGGTTTTCTTTATCTAAACTTAAAATCTGATCTGAAATATTTGATGCGACAAGAAAAAGTAAAACAGAGATCCAATACTTTCTCAAATTACTGAATGTGTTTACTTAGACAGGATGAATGACAGGTCTGGTTTTTCCTCCAATGGGAGGAAATGCCAGAAGGATTCTTTTATTCAGTGAGCAGATAAAACATGTCATCATTAATGTTCATCCACCTGGATTCATCTACTCACTTTCTTCTGAATGAGGTCCCAGGCGTGCTCCGTGGTCTTGTTCTGACCAGTGTAGTTGACTATCATCCTCCTAATGATTTCAGACATCTCATGTTTCAGCTGGAGGACACAGAAAATGAAGGAGAGTTAAATAAATATAGCTGCATGTGATCATGAGATCTGTGATTATTGGGGTTGTCAAAAGTATCGATACTCAAAAAAGTATTGATACTGAAACGTATCCGGATACAATACTCATTTTCAAAAGTATCGATACAGTGCCACCAACAGTGGCACCTAAACAGTCATTCATCTTAAGTGCAGAATAGAGGAAAATGCACTTTCTTAACACTGTGTGATTGAATAATTCTGTGCACTTTTTAGTTTCAGACTTTTTTTGTAAGAGGTGCAGCTGCTGAGGATTATTTTTGTTTCTTAACCAGTTTGGCTAGCGTCATTGCTATGTGTGCAAAGCATAGCCAAGGAAGGAACTCTTAATTTTAATTTTGTAAGTTTTTTATCAAGCTTGCTTAATACTGTGCACAGCAAACAACCTCAAAATATTATTATTACTGTTTATTGTATTTATTTATTGTATTTTAATTATTAATCAAAATATTTCTGTTGAAATTTGGAGTTTTTATCCTTGTGGTATCAAAAATGGTATCGAGTATCAAATATTTTCCTTAATATCGGTATCGAGTTGAAAAGTTTAGTATCATGACAACCCTACTGATTATTATTACTAACAGTAAATTAATCAACAAAGATAATTATTTTTAAGGCTCTATCTAAATAAAAACGCATAAAAGAAATGGTCTTTCTGAGGTGTCGATATTTTGCCAACTTTAGGTGAAAATTTGTGAATTCAATTACCTTTCAGTTAAGAAACATTTTGTTATTTAAGTTATGTTCTTGTGGCTTTTAACTGATCATTAGTGGCAGTTTAAAAAAGCTTTAAAGACTAAGATTTAAACTTTGTTTTTTCAATTTTTAATTATTTAAACCAGGGGTCACCAACCTTTTTAAGGCTGAGGGCTACTTCATGGCTACCAAGTCATAGGAAGGGCTACCAATACTGACCTATGAACTGGAGGGATCACTGTTCACCTACAGTAAATCTCATCCATAAAAACTCATTTTTAGTCTTATTTTATTCTTTTATTCATTTCTAATTTTCTTTTTAAATTGGCATTTTGAAACCACTGAAATATGATGAAATAGTTAACATGTGAAATAATACATAAATGATTAAAAAGAAGAAAAAATTTTACTTAACCCACTGAGTGAGTTCTTCTGTTTTCAGAAGACAAAGAGGGCACCCCATGTGGTCCTTGAGGGCCCCTTGGTGCCCGCGGGCACCGCGTTGGTGACCCCTGATTTAAACACTTGACTTGAGTGGAAATCAAAATTATACTAATTGGAATAGCAAAAAAAAAAAAAAAACCTGCAATCCCTTCCCATAGTTAATCATCAACATCATGTTTCTCAGTGAAATAGAGTTCACACATGCAAAGCCCCATGTTAGGGCGAAGCTTTGTCCAAACCCAGCTAAAATAAGGAAACGCTCTGAATTTATGTGTGTAAGACCATAGATCTATTGCTGTAATGCAGCTGAGATCTACGCGCGACGCGTGAGAGCCTCACCCTATTCTGGGAAAGCGCAACACCCTGCTCTGCGGTGAGCCTTAAACACAGAGAGTATGAAAGGCTGCAGGTTCACATGGTCCAGATAAACACACAGACTGAAGGGCTCACAGTTAAAACTGTCCCCACCTTCCCACACAGAGATGAGGGTTATTAAGGGAGGAAGGTGCTATTTTAGAGAGTGGCCTTAACACAGAGCATAAAACATGTCAGAGAGAGTGAGGTGTTCAAACAAAACACTCCCCCAGGAGCAAACACTGAACCTGGTTCATTAAATGATTGTCTTTATAATCAGAGAAGCCCAATTCAACAAACTCCCTCCGTTCTAAAGGCACCTGCAGTCAGAGGGTAACTGGATCCTCAGGAATAACTCAGAGCAGATATTTATTTAAAAAAAAGTGATTCTGATTAACAATGGTTTGGAAAAGATTTTGCTCTGCTTCACTAAATGTTCCCAGTTACATTATTAAAATTATTAACCCTTTAAAGCCCGATCCAAGAATAAAACAAAACAGAAAATTACTTTTTTTTGGTTTGAAATCCTTATTTGGCCTTTTAACAAAATATGTAAAGAGAAAAAAACATAAATTTTTGATATTAATAATTTATTACTATGCGATAAGTCAAGATTATTTTTTGTGTAGT